CAATGTCCATCTGATACCTTAATACTTAACATATAAATATATTTACATAGATCTATTTCCCTATCGTTATATATAAATATATTTACATATATACATGCATGTATTTAGACATCTGTAAATGTCTTTTGGCTCCTAGTGCTTTTCTCTATTTCTTTTTACTTTCCTCTTGTTCCATTATCATGTTCGGCCTTTATTTGGGTTTTAGTAATTCCTCTCGGCTACATTACTGGAGACACAATGTAGGAATTGTGCCTGATTTGACCCCACCACATTGGGGTAAAACACTAAGGACATGCAATAGAGCAGCAAGGGGAGCAAAGCAATGAAGTCCCCAGGGAAAACCAAAAATAGACTTTGGGGCCAGGGCTTGCCACCCCATCAGACTGGACCAGAAAACACTTCTAAAGGTCAACAAACAAACAATTTATAGGCTTTTGGTTTTTTGTCATTTGGTTTTTGTTGTTTTGCTCTGTCTCGTTGCTGTGCTTATTATTGTTTCTGCAGGTTTATCTAGATAAGATAGGCTGGATAAACAATCTGGAGGAGCAAACAACAGGACTGATGGTTCTGGGGAGACATGGAAGTTGGGGAGGCAGGGAAAGCAAGGGGGTTTCAACAAACTCAGAGACAAAGGAACAACAAATGATCTAAAATCGATGGCGAGGACGGCATAGGATGCCTGGTGGGGCTTGATCAAGAAATAAATGATTTTAAGGAGCACTAATCAGAAGGTCAGCAGTCTGGAAGCTCTAGCTCCTCCATTGGAGAAAGATGAGGCTTTCTGCCTCATAAAGATTTACAGTCTCAAACACATAGGGGCAGTGATACCCTGTTTTATAGGGTTGCTATGAATCAGAATTGACTTGATGGCAGTGTGTAGTAAATTTGAGTCTACTATTTTATTATGGGTTTTAGATAGCATATAAATTATAAATAATTGTGTGACCCAGTAATTGTTTATAAGAATTTTCTACCTTTATCATTGTATTTTATTTAATTTTACTGTGACTAGCATAGGTCTGTACAGTGTTGAATCTATTAAGGTTGTCTTTGTGGCTTGTTTTGCCAGTATGAAGATTCCTTGCACTTCAAATTGAGTTTATTGGTTGTTTTGTTTTGTTTTTTCCTTAGAGGGGGGTTGGTGGGTAGCAGGTCAAAATAAATCTAACTAGATCGGTCTTATTTGATTCGTCTATATTAATGTACACTAGATCTTTTGTGTACTGAGCTATGTAAGTTACAGTCTCATAATTCTTTATCAACATCTCCGGAAGCTTTGGTAGGGCTGTGGGATAAGCATTAGACTGCTATCCAAATAGACTGATGTCTATTTTGGGTCTTCTCCTCATATTTAATATACTTTGTTTCTTTCATTTGTTTTTATGTTCCACTTGTAATGTTTGTATGAATTTTTTCAGATAATTTAGAAGGCTTGTGTTTTTCCCCCATGCATAATCGTTAGAAGCGTCACAAGTATACTTAATTTCTAATGTAATTTTAACATTCTGTATTATAAACCTTGAAGATACTTAATTAATACACTTTCATTTTTTTCTACCTCCCTTCCCTACTTGTATTGGCATTTGTATTCCAAAATTACATATTAATCTTTTGTTGATCCATCAAAAAAGTATTAAAATGAATAAACTTGAAGTCTAAACTCTTTCTTCTCATACAACCCATTTTGTTAATTATATCATGTTTACATTTTCATGGTTTACATTTATGTTCAGCTCTATAACTATGACCTTTCAGTCAACTGCATTAATCACCATGGATCCTTTTGCCAAATTTTACTGTTCTTGTATGCTGGCAACCTGGTTCTGACTGCTCACACCCAATAGGGCAGAGTGGAATTCCCTCAGAGGTTTTCCTGGGTAGTATTCGTTCTGGGAGTAGGTCTTTTCTCCCACGAAGAACCCACGTTGTGGGTCAGGCCACTGACCTTTCCGGCAGCATCCAGGGGCTTCACTGTTGTGCCGCAGGACTCCTTTGCCAGAGTTTTCTAGTTTTCTTTATTGATGTTTTTCCTCAGGGTGTAGGAGGTTCTTCAATGCATTTTCAAAACAAATTATTTGGTTTGAAATTTCAATGCAGAGTAACTGGATATGAGTTTGTTTCCATGAGGCCTTGATAGCATTACTGCTCTGCCTTCTAGCATGAAATGTTTCTCTGCAGAAGTCAGGAGACAGCCTAACTTGGCATAATCTTTTTTCCTGAATATGCAAAGAATTCTTTGATGTGTGGTAGTTTGTTGGTTTTTGTATTTGTAAATCAGCTCTGATTAGACGAGAATGGGAAAATGGTACCAATTCAACTGTATCCATAACATATTATTTCTTTAAAAAAGAAAAAGATATGAAGCAAAAATGCCAGAATATTAACATGAATTAAATATAATTGGTGAGTACACAGAAATCTATAATATTGTTCTCTGTGCTTCAGGGCATGCTTGAAATATTACCTTTTTTTAAAAGAGATGATTGAACTATATATCTGTGTTTCAGTCCACCGTATAATTCCTTGAAAAACACAGTTTTGCCTTATTGATCATGTGCATCTGTGTTGACAGTCACTCAATTCCTTTCTCACCATTCCCCATCATTTGGTTTCATTTCCTTAAGTTTCAAGTAAATATTTATATCTTAAAGACTTTTGATGGGAAATTATAAAATCCTAAGTTTAAAATCTGCAGAATGGAAGTTAGCAGAGGCTAACACTAAATAGGATATTTTACTAATACCTGTTTAGTGATGTATTTTTGCTGGATTGGGACTATTTTGAGCCAATTATTGGCTCCAAACATATATAATAGAATTGAGGGATGAAACACCACGATAGAGTCAAGTATTCAGAACCCTTCCTACTCCTTCCTTTTTTTTTCTTTTTTTTTTTAATTAGCAGTGCTCTCATAAGTACAAATCATCTTAAAAGGAAAATAAATCACTCCCTCCATTTTAAAACATCAATTCATTTTTAGTTTTTTAATACTAAGATATTTCTCCATTTGCTTTCCTTCTTTGTTCAGGTATATGTCTCGAGTCCACGGTATGCATCCAAAAGAGACCACCCGTCAGCTGAGCTTAGCTGTGAAAGATGGTCTTATTGTTGAAACTCTAACAGTGGGCTGCAAAGGTTCAAAAGCTGGTATTGAGCAAGAAGGATATTGGTTACCAGGAGATGAGATTGTAAGTATATTTAATGTAATATTTGGAGATGCTAACTTCTAGTTGTTGAATATTATTTAGTCCCAACCCAAAGAAATTTGCTTTCAGAAGTTTAGTAGTAGTTCACTTTTTATTAACATTAAAGACTTCCATTAGTAGATCGGATACTTTCCTCACTGATTCTGTAGGGCATAAATCACTTTTTAAAAGACTTCTTTTTTTATGTTACCTGGAATCTAAAAGTATAAGAACTTAAAGAACGAAGACAACACAAACAAAAACCTTTTACAACGTATTAAATTATTGGTACTATTACTTATGTCCATCAGTAAATTTTAGTAAATATAAATATTTCAGCACAAGATAATCTTGGTGTCTTCTAGATATACTAAAAGGAAAAGGAATGGTTTCACTTTCACTTAGAGCTACTTTAGAACCTAAACACAGGTTTGAATTAGCATTATGTTGCAAAATACAGATGTTTCAAATGGTGGATTCCCCTGGCCATTATCTTAGTTGACTAGTGTCTATAGCAATGTTTTTGTTTGTTTTTTTGAAACTAGAACCAAAATCAAGTAGGACAGACAAAATTTTAATTTATATTTTTACCTAGTTCTTATTTTGACTCCCCTTATAAGATATTTTATTCTTCTCAGTTGCAGGAAGTCCCTGGGTTATGAATGTCTCATTAGGGGAGAAAACCTACTTGCCCTTTAATGGTCTATAAATTTGATCAAAATTTCTGATGACTGAACCAACCCGTATTTGGAACAGATACTTCATAAAAGCCTTCATGGGCTGCACTTGCATCCTCTTCTCACATAACCCACTCCCAAACCCACTACCATCAGGTTGACTCTGACTCATTGACCCGACAGGATTTTCGAGACTGCAAATCTTTCCAAAAGCATATTACCTCATCTTTCTGCCTCTGAGTGACTGGTGGGTTTGAAACTTCAACTTTATGACTAGCAGCCCAACACGTGGTGCACCATGCCACACAAAGTAAGGCTGAATAAGAACTGTATGCATCTGTTCCACCCACCTCCAAATCCAGATTTTGTGTATGATCCAGACATTTTATGCAGGCCTCTATATAGTTTTCTCCTGTAGCTTACAAATAGTTATACATAATTTCTTACAAAAAGATTGGTTGTCTGTGTCATATTTCTCTTTCCACTTTTGTTGCTTTTGATATTTTTAATGCCCTTTTGTTGATTTTGATATTTTTAAAATATTAAAAATATTTTAATATTTTTAGTAGGAACATGTTATGGGTTTTTTTTCAAGGGCTGTGATTTAAGGTTTTAAATATATGCTATTCATCTAGTTAGTTTACAAAGGGATAGATTTATTAACTAGGTGATTTGAAAGTGTTGTATCATGAATTATCAAAAACCTAAAGTTATAAAAACGATTTAAAGAATTTTAATGGTGTAGGAAAAAAATTAGGAAAACTTTGAGTTGTATTTCCTTTTCTGGGTCTTACTGCATTAAGCCAGCCCTATCTAGTCTGAGAGCAATAAATCAATGAACACAATTAATGGTTGTGAGCTTGTTCATAGAAGTAGTTATCATAGGTTATAAAATTAGAAAATTCGTTCCGTTTCAACACATCAATTTTAAACAGTGAAGGAAAGAAAATTTAGATTTTTCACAAACAGAAAACATCAAAAAAGAAATACTAATTTAACTGGTATCATTTGTTTTAAGCAATAGAAGTGTTTTTGGAAAAAATTAAATGAAATTGTTTGTATCTGAACAATGTACTAGTGACTTTCCTTAGAGAAAGGTGAAACTTTGTTGTCAGTAAAGAAACTTTTAACTGAAGACATAATAAGACTATGTCAAATACTACATATCTATATGTCAACAGACATGTATGGACAGGCCACTGAGTAATTGATGCTCTACTGAATATGTACAATAATCCTAGAGATAATAAGATAATATAAAAATGTCTAACTCTGAAGCCCTTGGGAATTGAGAGTCGTAGGCGTTTACCAATAGAAGTGATTTGGATTTGTGGGTCGTGGCGCATTGTTTTTCATAAAAATCACTTGCAGTTGACTTGTCAATATGACTTATTATCCATTGCTTTTTCATTCCATTGACATGCATGCTTTTGCCCTTTTTGCTGCTCTGTTACTGTATTTATCCATACTTATTAGGTTTGTGCCTTTCCATGTGCTTTCTATATTGTATTACTTATTTTTGCACATGCTTAGTGCATATATTTTTAGCATCAACCTGTCCTTTTTATTGTTTCTTGTTTTGATGCAATCTTGTCTGTAAGCAGCCAGTGTACAGGCTATTCATTCTGGTTGGTTCTTAATCATAGATATTTGCATGTTAACTATTTGCATGTCCTATAAGCACAATTGGGTATGTCAAAATGTGTATAGTTTATAAAATACACAAGTATTAAAAATTCAGAGGCAATGTAATATAATAAGAAGAAGTAATATTGTGTGTATTTCCATAGAGAGGGTTCCAATTCCATCTCAGACATTTATTGGGGCTTATGACCTTGAGGAAATTTCTTACCCTCTCTGATCGTCAGTCCTCTGTTGTAATGTGGGCATGTTAATATCTGATTAATTTGATTGCTTTAAAAAGTAAATAAGGTTGTTAAGCAGGTATTTTATTTTTGACTCATAAGTATGCTTGAACTAAGTATAACAAATCCCACAAAATTCTTACTACGTAGGCAAAACTTATAACAAATCCCACAAAATTCTTGCTACGTAGGCAAAACTTTTCACAAGAGTCTTTCAACTTTTCAACCTTTGTGCTCCAGCACAGGAAGGTTTATAAAAAGGTTTTCCTTTGAGAAACTGGATTTTTATTTAATGTGTAACTATAAAATCATTATGTATATCTCATGACCATTACCTGCCTATCCAGGGGTTGTATACACACATTTGCTGTCATTTTTATGCCCTAATAGTATTCTAGAAGGATATCTAATTAAACATATGTTGTACTTGGTCACACCACCAGGATCTATGATTAAACATATGTTATATTAGGCTACATCACTTCAGCCAATAAGCTTCATGTAACTGAATTCTGTATCTGTAAAATGTATTAAATCTGTTAAATGCCTATGCAGGTGGTTGTGCCAATTATGGACTGCAAAACTCAGGAAGTAGCATTTGTACTGTGTTGTTGTTGTAGGCTGTAAAGTTGATTCAGATGCATAGCAACCTCAGGTGACTGCCCCCAGAGAGTTTTCTTGGCCGCAATCTTTCAATGGAGCAAATCGCCAGGTTTTTCTCCAGTACTCGAGCCGCTGGGTGTGTTCACAGCCAAGTACTTCACCACTGTGCCATTAGGGCTCCTTCCTTCATACCATAAATTGTAAATTAGTATATTTATTTAGTAGCATAGTGACAAGGAGCCCTGGGAGTGTAGTGGTTACATGTTGGGCTGCAATCTGCAAGGTCATCAGTTCAAAACCACCAGCGGCCCTGCGGGAAGAAGATGGGGCTTTCTGTTCCCGTAAGAGTTGCAGTCTCAGAACTTCACGAGGCAATTCTATCTAGGTTAACTGTGCGTTGGCATCAACCAGATGGCAGCTAATAGCAAGAAGCATAATGGCGGTACAGCAACTTACAACAAAATCTGTATGTCACGAGAGCGTTAGAGACTTTTCTAATGTGCATCAATGTATTTTGTGGGCTGTGGCATCTCTCCATGCCGCATTTAAATCTGGGACTCCATCCTTTGTAGTTTTAGGACCTCACCTACAGTGTATATCACTTTAATGCCTCCAAGAAACTAGTTACCAAATTGAGATTTTCAAGTTATTACATATCTTGTTTAATTTCAGATTCAGTATGGAGAGGAAAAGTCAAGTAAATAAATATGGCCTCAGGAGAGCAGTCACTGGATGTTTTGAGTTATTTATTTTTAAACCTTTAAGTCAAAGCTACTGATATTCCTTACTCAAGCAATTCTGCCATTTAAAAAAATGGGTAGTAAAGTCCTTCTGTTCCTTCTGTAGCTTCTCAGAGTAGTTGTGGTCTCAGACCAAACCCAAACCCTCAGCCACTGAGTCCATCCGGACTCAGAGCAGCCGTAGAGAGGGTGTTTCAGAGGTGGGAAACCCGTGTTCCTCTTCGCAGGTTCTGCAGGGTATAGCTTCTACTGGGTTTTGTATGGCAAAGACAGTAGGCTCTCTACTTCTCTTCACTTCCGAAGCAATGTTAGGAAAATGATGCCAGTTAAAAAATACAGTTTTATTTGTGCCACTCAACAATAGTTGATAGTTTAAAATGCCAAGGAGTTGGTGCTATGTTTGTATTCCAGCTTTGCTACAGTTTCTCCCATGCTTCTTTTTAGAAACTTGTCAAAATTGAAAACATACATACCCATATGCAGTAACTGTTATTTTGACAACTGTGAGGTATGTCAGTATATAATTATCTGAACCAACACCTAACAACAGCATGTAATTTTATAGTGGAGTCTGTATAACCAAAAGCCAGTGAGCCCCATTATTTTACAACATTTTGAGATGTCAATCTCTTATCACCGTTTTCATCCATTTGGAGACTCTATGGCAAAATTAGAAATCTTCGTGGTGATATTTTAAATATTTTAACTTAAAATATTTGAATAGTTAAATATTTTAATTATTTATTTAAAATTTGAGATGACACAAGAGAAAAATATTAAAAATTAAATTGATCTCAATGTAAAGCTGTTTATTTAGATATTAGTCAACAAACAAATAAAAACATACGCTCTAGTCAACTTTTTAAATGAAAACTTCACTGAGCCTGGGAAACACACTTGTAAATTTTCTATATTTATCTTTAATTTCCAGATTTCTTGAAAAGATACAGTAGGATACAAATCATTCAGGTAAAGGTAAACAGGAAAAGATTTTCATAGCTCTTGAAATTATAGAACAAGGCACAGGGTAAAACTGTGATGCTTCACTAATATTAAAGCTTTTGAGAAATACTACATGCTCTCATGGCTCACAGGTTACTCCATCAACCGCTTCCTCTAAAGAATCACAGATGAATGGCCAGTTTCAGTCCATAGCTCCCCACAGTACTCTATCCCCTTTAGTCATAAAACTTGACAAGTATATTTCTTGGGTAGAATTTTCCATTTATTGTACTTAAATTAGGTATCGTGGCTCCCTTTGTAATAAGTATATAACTATCTCAACATGGGTTAAACTTTTAACCCATCAGGTACTCATTAAAGATGGAGATTATTTTTTAATTCTCTGAAGATTTATAGTTTCAGCCCAGGAAGATCTTATAAAATTATATCTTGTAATACATTATTAGGAGAGGTAAGCTTGTAAGTAATGCATACCAAACCATGTGGTTTGAAATTGAACCCTTTATTATATGGTGACAAATTTTAACTTTTTTCATGATCAGTACATAAAGGTAGGCCTCTACCTCTACTGATTTGACAGGATTCTGTCAATGTGACATTAAATGGTCAACTGTATTTACAATGACAAAAATGAAAAATTATAAAACTATTTTTCACTTTGTTTACCTGCCAAATTATGTCCCTCTCTGTTTTATTTTGTTTTGGTTTTCCTCTCATACATAGATACTGTCTGTACTAAGGTAGAAATCATAACTTAGGTTTTTGTTTAGTATTCCTCTACTAGTTTATATGGTTGCTTTTGATTTGAGTAAAAGCAAACATAAATCCAGACCTTATCTATTATATTCTTATGCTGTATTTATTTTAGCATAATCCAATTTATACTGCCTGCAATCTTTTTCTCATAGTATTTTAAAGTATTAGGTCTAGAAAGCATCTTTTTAAATGAAAAGGTAAAATTCCTTATTCTTTGCTTTATTGTCTTTTACTGTTATTTAAAAGTATAATTAATGAAAATACACATTTTTAAAATGAGATTAACATATTGTGTTGGGGATTGTTGTTAGGCACTGTCAAATCAGCTGCCCAACAGGGTTCTGTTAGCTAGCCTGCTACTGCCCAGGGCAGGTTGCCAGCGCTTTTAACCTTGGAGCTGCTGGGTTGGTTCTCTTTGGATGAGCCTCCAAGTGCCAACTACTCTGCTACCAAGGATCCTGGTGCTGGGGAATGGTTGTTACTGTGTGCTAGCCGTTGACTCCAACTTACAGCAAATGGGCTTAAAATTTCATTTAGACATGGGAAAAATAGAGACCTTTGATCCCTGTCATTATCTGCTTCTCCCAAACCCTGGAAGGTTTGATTGATATATTCCTGAAATTTAGTTATGCTGGCATAATTTTTTCCCCCGAGAATACTAACAAGAGAGGCTTGCCAAACTCAAGACTGAGCTGGACTCTGCTGAACCTCTTTCCTGAGAGGCTTAAGTACAATAGGATCATTTTAAGATTTTAGATCTTTTGTTTTATACAGTTGTCATCAATTAAATCATATGCTTCAAATACCCTCAATGCCAGCGTTGGTGACTCTAGCATACTGATGATTTTTAAGTTAAATATATTTTATTCTGTTACTTATGGACAGAACCAAGTATTTCTTCCAAATGTCAATCTGCAAAAGATAATTATTAATTAAGCTATTAAAGTAATAAGTGATTAGTAATTCACTAGGAAGTAAATATATTTTGGTTCTATATGTATTCAAATATACACTTTCTATACTCAGAAATTATTCTTGCTTTAGTAAAAAATTTTCCATTTTATTCAGTTGTATATTGTGGGTCATACTATTCTGCTGTACTCTTTTAAGCTTACAGTGTGTGTGTGTGTGTGTGTGTGTGTGTGTGTGTGTGTGTGTGTGTGTGTGTGAAGGTTGAGTTCTTTTATTGTCTAAATTCCCTTTCACTGAAAATGTTTCCTTATTTTTAATATTTTTAAAATATTTTCAATTACTAGAGATATTAGCTCATTTTTCTTAGCTCCTAATGAATCACAATTTTTTAACTATCTGGAATTGTAAATAATTTTACATTGTATATCAAACACATATATGTGTTTATCTGCTCGTTAAGAAGAAACAGAACTACTTCAAAACTAAACATCTGATTCATCAGGGTAGAATGTAACTTGGAAGACTTTCATTCCAGATTTCCACTTCCTGTGCTACATGACTTTGAACATATTTGTTGCGGTGCTTCAGTTTTATCCTAAATAAGTCAGTATTTCTTGCTTGGATAAACTTACAGAAATGTTGAGAGACAAAGGAGATAAGGAATTTTAAAGTTCCTAGAAAATAAATGCACACATACCGTATATACTCATTGATAAGCCGAGTTTTCAGCACATTTTTAATGCAGTTTTTGTGGTAAAATTAGGTGCCTGGGCTGATATTAGGGTTGGCTTATACTCAAGCATATATGGTAATTATAAATGTTACATAATTGTGTGACTTAATCAGTCCTTGTTTTACACATGGTAGCAACCAGACAGATAATCTTAGTTATACGAGCGAGCCCTTATCCACTACTTACATTGCGCTAGGCTCTTTTCTAATCTACTATCTCATTTAATTCTAGCAACACCTAGGAACTATTACTATGTTCATTGTACGGGTAGAAAATGACACACACAGAAAATAGGGATATAGTCCAAGGTTACACAGATCACTAATGAAGGCCAGAGCTGGGATTGGAACTAGTCTGGCTTCAGAGATGATGGTCTTAAGCAAATATTGTGAATGTTTTACAGAGTTAGATAAATAGACTGCCACTGCATAACGGATTTGTTAACCTACTAGGTTCTAAAAGCAATCTTTATAAATTTATTACTTGTGTTGAAGTTTACTGCTTTAACATTCATTACTCTTAATTTGTTTTCAATCCAGTTAGAACTAACTTCAGATCACTAAGACATGGAAGTCTTGTGTAAATATATAACGTCATTACGTTTGTTTGTGAGTGAAATGTTTTTCTAACATCATCACAGGATTCATGACATGAATTCCCAAAGAGAGATTTTCTCTAACATCCATTTGTAGCTTTTATGTTAGTGTGAAAAGTTTCCTCTTAACAATTCTTGAGTTTGCATGTTACTGTCTTTTCTCTAACAAATAGTGCATTGATAGATTATCAATTTATATCACCTGCAAAATAATATAAGTTGTATAGCAAAAAATACCGTTTGACCTATATGAAATCCCTTTAGCCCTGTGTATTACCTGATAATGAGCAAAGTTATAGTAGAGAGACCAAGATTATTTTGTTTTTATTTTGAAAGGCCTACAGTATGCAGCCTTTCTCCAGGACAGCAACCCCAAACAAGGTGAACTAATTTTGCACTACGTTCTTTTACTTTAATTCTAACTTTCTAAATTATATTTCTATCATGATTTTAGGCTAGCTTAGTTACCTCTTGCTAGAATTGTTTATTAAAGTCCTACTATCTTAATTTTATCGTTTTGACTTTTGTGCTAGTAGATTTGCCTTTAAAACGTTTTCTTGTCTTTGAAATGGCCTTTCAAATATTATGTTCTCAATCTGGTTATATAGAGAGTAGCTGATGACATCTGGTGGAATCCAGTGAAAATGCAAACTTAGCATGTGGGCAGATATTATTATGTGTTACTCTAAAGTGTTACATAATTAAATTTCATTTACTAAAAAACAAATTGTCAGCAACTCTGCCTATATGTATATTTATTATTTATACCGCAAAATATATTTCCTAGATTCAGAATCTGATCGTGTTTGAGCCTAACTTTTACATGTTTTGTATATTGTTAGTAAACAGCTTGTCCTTTTAAACCCACCAGCTGTTCTTTGGGAAAGACATGGCAGTTTCCGCCTGTAAAGATTTCAGTCTTGTAAAAATCCTCTGGGCAGTTCTACTCTGTCCTATAGAGCCACTGTGCGTTGCAGTTGACTCCCTGACAATGTATTGTTTTCATGATTCAAAGAATGAGCAGTGTCTATACATTTCCTAGCCCATAAGAAATCACAGAATGAAGTTAGTTATATGCCATCATATAAGCTTATATCCAATTGTTTCTGACCTTCTATTTCATCTGAGTTTATATATGGATTTCTGTAATTGTCATGAAAAACTAGGTCTAGAACCAAACACCCCAGAGAAGAGCGCTAGCTCCATTTCCATCTTCATTTCATGGTGAGGGGGGAAGGGGATGGAAAGAGGTAAAGCAAATATGGAAAAGTTTAGACTTAGGTACTAAAATTCTATACCATTCTTCCTTTTCTTAATTAACTTAGTAACAACTACTTGACCATCATATGAAGATGTTACAGAAAGGAATGTGAAAAATAGTCCACTGATGAAAGCTGACAGTTTCTCTTATTGATAATGAGTCATATGAGGAAAATAGCCAAGTATTTTGTTTTAGAATTGGAAAGAATTATATTAGAAGTAGAAAAAGATACGCATCTCCCCTTAAACCTAACTTAATGGCTGTTATACAAAAATCAAAATAGCTAAGCTATAAGCTAGATGAAGGCCATATGAAAGAGATTCACCAATGACAGTTATTTTAATAAAGCTAAGAACCACAGACACATATATGATGTTTATATGCTGCTGCTTTGTCAAACTTTGTGGTTTAGGTCTTTTTTTCCCCTAATATGCACATATTAGGGTCTTTTGTCAAATCAAATCCTATTTTTAAGCGGTCTAACTGAAATTACTCCTGCAATAAATACTTGTTTCGTTTTAGTACTAGCTAAAACTGGTCATACCTTTCATTTTGTTGTCGTTTAACTTTGGTTGATAAGACCACCAATTTCTTAGTAAAAAAGGAACCAGAAAGCTTATGGTAGTTTTGGAGAATTGAATAATATATAAAGGTTAAGTCAAAAAGTATTACTAAAGAATCACCAAAAAAATATTTAAAAGATCAAGATGTGAAACTCTTGTTTCTTGACTGCCCTCTCTGTCTATGGCCTTCTGAAGGCAGTGTCTCCATCCCTAACCCTTCCTCCAAGAATTCTGCCCTGTTCCATGGACATCAGATCAAGAGGACAGTTTTAGCTCCTTGGAAAACACAACATAGTGTTCCTTTGAATCGTTTTCTGAGTGTGGCGAACAAAAATAAGTCTGGAAATGCACTATCAAGGCTGTAGGGTAGAAGGGGTACGATTTCCCACGGGAATTCTCATAAGACATGCTTTGCTGCCCTCGAGATGAGCAGGTGCCCAGTCACGAAGGGGCAGTAAACACTCGGCAGCGCAGCCCTTACGGGCTTTTTCTCACCACTACAATTTTCAATTTTCTTAAAACTTCTTCATAATAAGTTGCCGTTGATCGTCCTGCGTTCAAGAAAATCTAGCAAAATTACTCAGTTGGAATCTCTTAAAAAGTCCCAGTGTCTTTTAAATCAGCAGTTCTCAACCTGTGGGTCGTGAGCCCTTTGGGGGTTGAACGATCTTTTCACAGGGGTCACCCGATTCATCTCAGTAGCTACAGTACAGTATGAAGTAGCAACAAAAAGAATTTTATGGTTGGGGGTCAATATGAGGAGCTGTCTGACAGGGTCGCGGCATTACGAGGATTGAGAACCACTGTTTTAAATGCATTGCTCCACCTTGCGGTGCACAGGCTCAGCAGATTCCCTTGGAGAGCCACAGTTTTTATTGGACTTCGTTATTTTTTGAAGAAGACTAAGACGAGTGTATATTACTCAGCGAACTTGTGTGCAGCCACCCATTGACTGCAGAGATAGGTTTAAACACAATTTGTTTGGAATACATTCATGAATACATGAACTGGAACCACAATAGTAATACTTTTGACTTACCCTTGTACTTTCACGATGATTCCGGGTATAGGCTAGGAGATGTGAATTTCTTCCTCATTGAAGGAGTAGATAGTGATACTCAGATATAGTCAAGCAGTGATGCATTTAAACCATTAGGAGTTTATCAAATATCACTGCTTATTACCCGAATGCTGTATCAAAGCTCATTCATTGAAAGGATATTAACATGAAAGAAAACAAGTAACTTGCTCAGCCTTTGAAATAGTGTAGACTGTGATTTATATAAAGGTGATAGGGGATCCGAAGTTTAGAATTTCACAAGTCCCTATTGGAAAGCGGCTTGATGGTTTTAAATGTGGATTTTCAGCTTGTTCACTGAAGCTACTATATCTATAAAATAAGATTGAGAGTGAATCCATCACTCTTAGCACAGATATTTTTTTGGAAGGCAAAGAGTGATATTTATGAGGAGTGAATTTTAAATAAGAGAACTTGTAACAGTCTTCCTGTTTATATCTAGTGGTACTGGTTGTTCAATAATGTGCAACAACAAAGGAAATGCTGAACAACACCTGTGTATCTGCAGTCATGTTCATTTAGCTCCAGAAATAGCCCCAAGAAGAAAATAAGCCTGCTCTTTTTTGCTTTCTATAGTAATGTACGTTGGAGAATGTGATTAAACTTTTAGTTTCACATTTTCAATTTATTTTTCCAAATTCAACAGACCCTGAAAACTTGACAGCCTATCAGAACACGGACATTCTGATTAATGATTATATTCAATAAAGCATCCAATACCATGGATGAGAAGATAAGAATAGTGACTAGTGAGCATCACCATTTATTACTATTCTTTCTGTTCCCACCTTGTGCTAAGTGCTTATTGTGTTAAAAACAGACAAACAGAATCGAACAAATCAGTCTATTTGAAACACAAAGTTTGGGTCTTCAATTTCTTAGAGAAATCACTCCGTAGGTTGTATAAAACCTGAAAGATGTTGGAACTGGGACTAGATTTGGACTTATTTCATTTTGGACTGGTTTTGTTATCAGATCACCTTAAAGATACCTCTGAATAGTAATACTGTGTAGGAGAGAATTTAACACTTAAAGTAAATTTCTAAGTATTTTGTTCCCTTATGTTTTAACACAGTAAATGTTAAAATTGTATATAATGCCTAACTTCTGATGGACTTTAGTTTCAATTTTGTTCTTAGTCATTGCAGATATTGACAAAATGTCATACCAAATTATTTTGTATTTTTTGTAGGACTGGGAAACAGAAAATCATGACTGGTATTGTTTTGAATGCCATTTGCCTGGAGAGGTGTTGATATGTGACCTGTGTTTTCGTGTGTATCATTCCAAGTGTTTGTCTGATGAGTTCAGGCTTAGAGACAGCAGTAGTCACTGGCAGTGCCCAGTTTGCAGGGTGAGTACCTATGAGCTTTAATGTGCTGGTTAGAGGGTTAAAATTCTTTAATAATAGCTTCACCAAGATATCCCAGGTGGTCTTGCCAGGTTAATGGATAAAAGTACTGGAGGGTGGGGGTTATCTACTGAAATCATGACAATGAACAGAGAATTCATAAAATGGATATACCAGAACACATCACCCATTTCAGGGTACCATATGTATAGATTTTAGAAAGTTTTAATCACATACAAATATACACTCCTCCTTTATTATACACCTGCCTCTCTCTGGATTATATAACAATAGCCTTTGGAAATCACGAAATACTATTTCATACCAAAGTTGTTCAATTAACTATAACATTTATGCTATTTAGAAAATAAAGTAGCAAAAGGCACATGATTAGAAGCATTTTATCTCTTTCTCATTTTTATGCCCATGTTTACAGTCAATGCAAGTTGCCTCTTTTCTTTTTGTCATACCATAAATTAGTTTATTTTTTGCTTATTTTATTTGGAGGGTGGAGTAACTAGATACTTGTATATAAATGATTTGGATTACTTTATTTAAAACAAAATGAGTCTAGTAGGTAATTAGGTGCTTTGCACACTGGTTTTCATTCTTTCCCCCATGAGAAAGACTCTATGCTGTGGTTGTTGGTTGCAGAATGTGGTATGTCTGTTTAAATGAGTGATGTGTGATGAAATCTTACATGCAATATGGCATTGATGGTGATAAATAAGGAATTATTTGATTGCAACGTCTATTGTTTTTTCTTGTAATTTTCCAAATATCTTCTTGGGACCAAGCAAATTTCATGAATTTAGTTTGTAAATAATTATGTTCTGTAAGACTTCAGTAATATAAATGTTCACATATTCTTTCTAATATAACATTTTATCATAATGTCCCCTGAGCAAAATACAGTATACATTCTAGTCTTCTCTTAGAATCTATGTTTTTATATTGCCTAAGTATATTTGATCTTACTGGCACTAACATACATATTCAAATAGGAAAACAAAAGACAGATGGAATAAACTTTAAAAGCTGTATTCAATGATCTATCATTCAAATGCCTAAATGCTTGATAAGTTATGATAAACTTCTAAATCTAAATATATTAGTATCCAATCTCAAATTGTAGACGTCTTTTATGAGACTTTATGAAGTCTACAAGGAATTAGTGTGATTAGTAGTGTAAATATTCATAATGTTGACCAAAGGCCCTGACAATGTGCATGTTTTACTCCTGTATGGATTTGGATTTTACATTTAAAAGCAAACATGAGGGTGCTTCATATAGTTTGTGGAAAAGTGAAATCAAAAGATGGATTGTTTCTTTGAACTTTTTGAAGCTCCTCCATGTATACTGTTTTTTTAAATTACCCTACAAAAATTGAAAAATTAATAAGAACATTCAGATAGTGAAAATACAAGAGAAAGAAAACAGGAAGGCAGTGTCACCGATCAAACAGGTGTAATATAGAGTCTTAGGAACTTAATATTATAGACCCTTTAATTTTTAAATGCTACCGCTTTTAAATATTTAATACTTAATTCTAATTTTGATACTGAATAACTTAAACAAAAGCTAGGATTTTGGAGTATGAATTATATTAAACATCATTGAAGATCGTATTTCTTAAGAATGGAAATTGAACATTTGGAGAAAATGTGTACTACTTTCCTCAGAATGCATTATTATCAAGCTGTCTGATTTCATTTTCTCTAGTTGGGTGCTCTGTGCTTTTGTCTGTCTGTCTGGATCACAGGGTGTTACTACTGGTCACACAGAAAGAGCCCAAGTGGGACTTAGCTGATCCTACCCGTCTTTTCGTTTTCTCAAGCTATATATATTTACACTGATAAAATTATGCTTACTGAAATGATGCTGTAAGTTAATATAGTTAACTCTTTAAGGCTCAAAACTTATTTTCTTAAATGAGGCGAGGAACTTGAGCTTTTATAAAACACCCAAACAGTTTTTTCTACATTAGGTGTATGCTGCTGTTTTCAGAGTTATGTTCTAGAAAAAATAAGAAGTATGCTAATAATTCCTATCCTATCCTTGGGTAATAATTAGAAACCTTGAAATTTTAATATTTTGGGTTGCATTTTTTTCAGCCAAAAGTGTCAAACTTTTGAATAAACCTAGTTTAATAATAATCTACTCTCAGGATTACTGACGAGCTATAAACATTTTATTCTATTAGAATAAAGCCCAACAACTTTGATATTGTCAGAAAACTGTACTTTTTTTCTCTTTAATTAATTTCTAGAAATATGTGCCAGAATCAAATTGCTATACAGACAAAAATAATACGAAAGCGAACCATGATTAACGAGGCCTGAAGATTAAAATCAGCCTCCTTTTGGACTAAGTTTCTATTAATGGTGATGGAATACTTAGGAAACTGATAGTGGTCCTAGCTGCACAAAATTTTGAGCATAATTAGTGTCACTGAATGGAGTGTACATATAAAAATGCTAAATTGGTGTATGTTTTATATGTGTGTTTTCCTTAATAAGAAAAATGTTACCCACCTCTTAAGATGTGTTAACTAATTTAATTCCCGTTCAAGTAGCTTTAGCTCATATATATCTATATATCTATTTCTAAAACATTAAGAGAATAATGACAGGAATAAGATAATTTTATCAATTGTTACCATAAAACCTAAGAATCTCACAGCCCTGAGGCTATTTCTTTGGAATGTCACCCTTTCTAAAAAGGTCATTACATTTTTGCTTTACAGATACAATAAATTATAGTTAAGCTTCCCCGTCACAGACATATTATATTGCTATTATAATGTAACCTTTGAATATCAAATTAACATTTTGTTTTAGAAAAAAAAGTAATGTTAAATTTCACATTTTTGTTACTAGAAACACTCAATCTTAAAATATAAAAATAATTTTGAATTACTTTTAAATGCCTAGAAGTGTAGGTCTTGGGAGACAACGTCAGTTGGTTTAACATAGTCTACAAAAAGAGTTATTTTATTCTACAAAGTAGTATTTAAAACAATCTCATTATCCATCTAGTCAATTCCGACAAATAGTGACCGTATGAGCCAGGGTAGACCTTCCCATGTCGTTGTCCAAGACTGTGACTCTTCACAGCAGCACCGAGCCTGATCTTTCTCCCTGGGGGGTTGGGGGGGGGGCGCTGGTGGTTTCGAACCCTTGACTCTGGCTTTAGCAGTCCAACACATCTTGCACCTGTTGGTTTCTTCCTTACCTGGAGCAGAGAAAAGTAAAAATCAAAGATGCAAGGAGGTGATTAGTCCAGAGGACTCATGGACCACATGACCTCCAACCTCCATGACCTTGAGCCTGAAAGGATGGATTGCTCCAAAGAGGATATTGAAGTCCTGTTGGAGATCCTGAATAAAGTGGGAGAATTCTGAAACAAAACTCAGAATCATCAAAAAGACCAGAATTACTGATAGAGACTGGTAGAGCCACTGAGAGGAGGGTGGCCCTTCAGCCCCACTGCGCGATAGGCCTATAAGGTGAACAGTAACTCTAGGAGGTACCCACTCCATAGAACAGTCAACCAAAAGAGAGGCCAAGCTCCACATTTGTCCAGGGTCATAAATCAAAGCTCACACTGCAGCAAGGACAGGAAACAGTAAACACAAAGGAAAGTGCTGTGAGCTTGTGGAGGTTACAATCAGTGAAAACAAAATGTCTGACATGTTGAATGAAAAGCAAATTTGCTCTGTTAGATTTCATATAAACCATATTAAAACATATTTTGAAAAATCTTAAATCTGCTGTAAAAAGAAATCAAAGGATTTAGAAAATACAGGTAAAATTCCCAGAAACCCTGCCACATAATATTTAAATCTTTCTCCATGCATGTGTCTGTATATATGTATGTATCTGTATTTATTTAACTTTCCTTAAATTATGTGATATACCAGTATGTTTCCCTCAGCAACGTCCCCAACATTGTCACAGATTGGTAAATATGTATCTACATATGATTATTTTAAAAGAGATGGCCATAAGGTAGGTAGCTAATTCTGTACTGATCCACACTGACATTGTTGGCATACTCATTGTCAGGTTCAAAAGCATGCTACACTTTGAACTTTTGAAAAGCAGTCTGCATGAAATGAAAGTTTGTATGTTGTTTTTATGTGGACTTAACTTTATTTTTGAAAGTAGCTATGATTTTTTCCAAGAGAAAAAAACTATGCTTTTTTGGTGAAAATTGCTTTTAACATTATATTTACATAAAGGAAATACATTTAAGCATAGTATAATTTAAAGAAAATTAATGTACATATATCTGAGTAAATCTGATTACCTTCTTTGAAATTCTTAAATTTAAGACAACATTTAAATCCACCCCCACAAAATTATACCCATTTATACAGCACATGAAAGTATTCCACCAATTTAATAGAATGAAAATGAACATCTCATTTTAATTTTGCTTCATTTTCTTATATAAAAGAAGACTTCAGAACATTCTTGGGGAAATTAAATAGAAGCAGAAAGGAGTTTTTCCATGAAATTTTTGAAGCTCCCTCACTGTAGTCCACCCTCTGCCGTCAAGTCTGTTGGGACCCACGGGGGCCCCCATGGGACAGAGGAGAACCGCTCAGAGGGTTTCCGAGCCTGTAAACATTTTCAGAAGCAGATTACCCCAGAGTAGCTAGTGGGATTGAATTGCAAACCCTATTGCTATTTGATCTTTAACCCATTGTGTCACCAAGTGTGTGTGTGTTATACACATGCTTGTATGTACACTGCATGCCTGCATTTTTTAAAGTGTGCTGGTAAACATCATAGTATTTGAGTGATAACTAGGGGAGTTTTGCTTTGTTGTTGTTAGTACAAAGTAGAGGCAAAGTACTGGTAGTCTGTTCTTAGAAAGCACGGTAGACAGGCTGGAATCACAGTGCATTTAAAGTAGCGCTGTCCCAGTGATGTCAGTATTCTAGCTGTGCTGTTAACTGGGGCAGTCACTAGCCTTGTGTGGCTGCTGAATACAT